CCATAGGTTTTCTGTTGATGAAATCAGAGATGAGAGTGAAGAAGCTGAAGGAGTTGCTTCTTTCTTCCTGGTGGGGCATCCCTCACATGGAGTGAGTAGACCTTTCCTTCAGGGTGTGTCAGATCCAGAAGTGTATGGATCTGTCATGATAAAGGACATGAGGGAATGGGGAAAATAGATATGGTGAAATAGCGATATGGAGAAAAAAAAAAGAATAGAAATCTGAATAAAATGGAGACCAGGAGACAGATGGGCAATAGTAGGGGAGGTTTGTAGCTTTATGACCCTGTTCACTTCCTAGGACAAGACTTTGATGACCAACAAGGCAACACCTTCCTTCCTCGGTCAGATATATTGATTGATATCAGTGATGGAGAAAAGCAGAAAGTTTAAAGAACGCTTTGATGTGATTCAAAGTGCGCTAACAGTGGGTTGGGGAAGGAGGGGTTGGAAGGGAAAATCTTAAAGGTTGAATCGTTCTGGGGAAAATCAGAATTGACACTCACATGTCTGTGGTGCATCTCGGTCCGTAGAATCCAGAATAAAGCTGTAGTACTACCATGCTGTCCTGGTTCTTGAGGTCTGGATCCACTAAACATGGCAGGGTGCTACAGTGGTGCACCATGGAATAGGATGTACCTAGGGGGTTCTGGAAGTTGTGGTTTCACTCAGACAGCTTGATCACAATGTTTCCAGTTCTGGCAGCTGTGTAAATTTAGTTGAAGGCTTTGGGGTACCAAACTAAGGGCTGTTCCAGCCTAGGGAGTTTATTGCATGGCTAAATAAAATGTCTTGGTCCCATTGTGCAGCTGGATACACATTGCACATGGATGTGGATGAGACACCCATTCTTCATGGTGCATGAATGTGCATACTCATGTGTTTGTTGCACATGGGTGTCTTGGTTCAATTGTGCAACATTGTCATGCAACATAAAGGTTGAGCAGCATAATGAATATGTAACAGCACATGTGGAGGTTTACACTACACTATCACCATCTAGGATCTCAGTCATTGTGTTCTTTAGCTACATCTGTTTTTAAAATTATATTGTGAGCCATGTTGAGTCCCAGTTCTTGAAGAAAGCTGGGATATACATTCAATCCATAAACCAGCAACTAGAAATTCTTGCTAGCATGCTACAGGTTTCTCTATCTTTAGATTCAGATCAACCTTCTGCCCACCATTGCGAAACCCATCTTGACAAGATTTGTTCAGAGGAGCATTTGCCTTTGCTTCCCTCTGAGGCTGAGAGTCTGTGACTTGCCCAAGGTCACCCAGTGGGTTTCCATGGTCGAGTGGGGATTTGAATCCTGGTTTCCAGAGTTGTAGCACTTTGGATATATCAGGGGATGATGTGATTGATAGGAAAAGACAATATTCCTTGGTAAAGTGGGAAGCAGTAGGAAAAGAGGAGAATTCCTTATAAGCAGGCTGCATCTACACTGCAAAATCAATGCAGCTTGACATTGCTTTAACTGCCGTGGCTCAATCCTATGGTATTTTGGGATTTGTAGTTTTAGGAGAGATTTAGCCTTCGACGTGAGAGCGCTCTGGGACCACAGCAAACTACAGATCCCAGTATTCCACAGCATGGAGCTATGTAAGCAGTGTGAAACTGCATTCATTAATTCTACAGTGCAGCAGCAGCAAGACCTGAGCAAGGCTGTGGGTGATGGGATAGAGTGACTTGGAGGTCTCTCACACATGGGGTCCCCATGGGTCAAAAAGCCAACTTGATGCAAATGCGACAACTCCAAGCAAAGGAGAAAAGACAAAGAGGGCATCTGGAATTCATTTGCTGCTGAGCTTTCCTGTTTCCTTGCCCTCCCTTTGCAATGCAAAACAATATCCTTTCCTTATGCAACTCTGTATATTTTAAGTTCCTCTTTCCCCTCCTCTTTTCTCCTTCCTTCCAGCACAGCAGAAAAACTTCTAGAATTTTCTTTTCAAACAAATCGGTCATTGAGGAGCTCATTTAGGTTGCATCCGCACTGCAGAAATAATCTGGTTTGACACCACTTTAA